AGCTGCCTGTAATTGCTCCATTCTCTAATTCCTGGCATTTGTCTGTATGTGATTAGAAACTTCCCAGATTTCACCCTATAGGGGAGCATGATGTATTGGTCTCTGGAGCTGGCTTCCAAGGATGGACCAAAGTAAATTCCCCTGTTGGGGTCCACAGGAGAAGATCCAGACACCTCATTTGCAGATGACAGGAACGTGGGGACAGGCAAATCTTGTTTCACACCATAGGAAAGCATCTGGGACTCACAGAGAGAGGACTGGGGGAGAATCCATTAGTGCCAAGTGTGGAGGATTCCCACCTTCATGGTGCCATTATGTCCCTTGCAGTGCACCCTGGGGGGCTTTGAGGAGCTCCAGAGCATGAAGGCAGAGAAGAGGGAGGTCCTGGGCCTCCCACCACTCCCAGAGGACAGCATTAAAGTCATCCGCAACATGAGAGCTGCGTCCCCACCAGCGTCAGCATCTGACCTGATTGAGCAGCAGCAGAAGCGAGGCCGGCGGGAGCACAAGGTGAGGGCAGAGCTGGGGAAAGGGAAGCAGGGGACAGATGGGCTCTTGGAGCAGTCTTTTCCTTGGGTATTCATTTGCATGGAACAGAACCCACCTTCCTGCCCTGCTCTCTCCAGGCTTTGATTAAGCAGGATAACCTCGATGCCTTCAACGAGAGGGACCCGTACAAAGCTGATGATTCCCGTGAGGAAGAGGAAGAAAATGATGATGACAACAGCTTGGAGGGAGAGACCTTCCCCCTTGAACGTGATGAGGTGATGCCTCCACCCACCCAGCATCCCCCCAGCGACCGCATCACCTGCCCCAAGGGGCTGCCATGGGCACCCAAAGTCCGGTGAGTCCAGAGGCTGAGCTGCAGGGAGAGGAAAAGAGAGACTTTCACAGCGTACTGTGCTGAAGCAGAGGTGTTGGGAAGGTGGTGGAGATGGGTGGTTGGTCTGGTGATTGCTTTGCTGTTGTCAAGGTGGGCCCAACACCATCTCTCTGTCTGGCCACAGGGTTATTCTTGTGCCCTGTGCCTGGGGATTGGGCTGTATCACTGAATGGTTGATGTTGGAATGGACCTCTGGAGTTCAGTGGCCCAACCCCTGCTCAAGGCAGGAACACAGAGCCCAGGACCACGTCCAGGAGGCTTTTGAAGGAGGAAGGAGTCTTCACAGCCTCTCTGGACAAGGTTGACAGGAAGATGTTATTTTTCCTCTTGTCTTTCTGCTGCAGAGAGAAGGACATTGAGATGTTCCTGGAGTCCAGTCGCAGCAAGTTCATTGGCTACACTCTGGGCAGGTGGGTTCCTGCAAAGCCAGGCTGGGCAGCTGCTCATTTCGGGGGGGTTGGGGAGGGGGCTGCAGCAGAGGCTGCTGCTTTGGGGGCTGTCACACTTCTCCTCTGAGCACTGGTCTCTGACCTCCCCCTGGGAGCAAACTCAGGTTTGCTGCTGTCTGCACACAGCCCAACTTTTTCCCTTCTCTCCAGTGACACCAACACTGTGGTGGGGTTGCCCAGGCCCATCCACGAGAGCATCCGAACCCTGAAGCAGGTGAGTCTGCTGATGAGTTTCTCCTCCTCTGCCTCCCTGTCTGTTAGTGCTGGGTCACTGCACTGCAACAAGAATAACAGAGGCAGCCCCAAGCTGTGCTGTGTGGCATTAGTGGGGGCCTGTGGTGTCAATCCCCCTTCTCTCTGTATGCAGCACAAGTACACATCGATCGCAGAGGTGCAGGTGCACATGGAGGATGAGTACTTACGCTCCCCCCTCTCTGGGGTAAGTGTGCAGATGGGGACAGGATGGAGCTCCCAGGTGGAGCTGGGGATGCTTTGGCTGCTGGGAGGCCTGGCTTTGCTCTGCAGCTCACTGGGGAAGGAGGAATGGGTTCTTCAGGAAGAGAGGGTTGGGTGTGTGAGGTGGCATTGGGCGGGAGCCAGAGGTATCCTCAGAGTGCCTGGGGCTGAACCAGCTGGTATTTGCTCTTGGGATGAGGTGATCTGCTCTTTCCTGGCACCAGGGGGAAGAAGAAGTGGAGCAAGTCCCTGCTGAGATCCTGTACCAGGGCCTCCTGCCGAGCCTGCCGCAGTACATGGTGAGCACTGCAGGTCCCCTGGGCTCTGCTCCATCCTCCTGAAGCTGATCTGGGGGTGCCTCACCCTGAGGTCTCCCTCTGCTGCTCTGTCCCTTTTCAGCCACACTCACAGATTTTCTTCCCTCTCAGCAAATACATCACTTCCACCATGCTTTGCTGGAGAGAGCGGCCTGTGGTTGGTTTCCCCTGTCCAATTTTCCATCTCTCCATTTCCTCCAGATTGCTCTGCTGAAGATCCTCCTTGCTGCAGCCCCCACTTCCAAAGCCAAAACAGATTCCATCAACATCCTGGCAGATGTCTTGCCAGAGGAGATGCCGTGAGTGACCAAAGAGGCTGTTGGTGCTAATAGGAATGGAAGGGGAAGCAGGATGGAGCCAGGCAGGGTGGTGTAGGCTGGCTCTGTGCTAAGGTTTCTTGGGTGATACGACCATCTTCAGCTTGGTGGTGTGCTGGGAAGTTTGCAATGCTGCAGGAACTGACTTGCAAGTGCCTGCTGGTAGCCCAGGGAATGGCAGAAATGCCTGCAGATGCCTCCAGGGTGGGGCTGGAAGGGTACAGGCACTGCCCCAGGCCAAGCATCTCTCTGTGTGCACCAGGACCACAGTGCTGCAGAGCATGAAGCTGGGGGTGGATGTCAATCGGCACAAGGAGATCATTGTCAAAGCCATCTCTGCTGTTTTGCTCCTCCTGCTCAAGCACTTCAAACTGAATCACATCTACCAGGTGAGCTGGGCTGGGGTCTGGCCAAGCTTAGGGGGTGGGCAGCACCCAGAATGGGTCTGCATTCACCCACCCATGTGGCTTTTCTCCCCAGTTTGAGTACATGGCCCAGCATCTGGTCTTTGCCAACTGCATCCCACTCATCCTAAAGTTCTTCAACCAGAACATCATGTCCTACATCACTGCCAAGAACAGGTAGGGGAGTGGATATGGGGAGAGGGTTCCTGCTTGCTTTTCTCCCTCTACAGTCCCCCCACCCCCCTGCTGTGACTCGGCTGCAGGCAGACCCAGGCATGGGACTGCATTGCCCCTGCACAGGGTGGGGTCTGTGGGAGCAGCGTGACACCCCTCTCCTCTCTCCAGCATTTCTGTCCTGGACTACCCGTACTGCGTGGTGCACGAGCTGCCGGAGCTGACAGCAGAGAGCCTGGTATGCTGCTCCCTTCTCTGCAGGCTCCCAGCACCCTGCAGTGCTTTCCAGGGGGTGTGGGGAGGCAGCAGGGCTCCAGCAGCCAGCCCTGGCAGCCTCAGCACTGCTCAGTCCCTGGTGTCACTGGGTGTTCTGTGGGTGCCCTTGGTTTGGTGGGTGTCTCCTGGCTGTGTGCTGTGCAGTGCTCCTTGGGGGGCAGGGGTCTTTGGTGCAGCACAGCTTTTCATCTCAGCATCCCCACTCTCATGCCTTGCTTCTGCCTCTCCTTTCCTGCAGGAGGCAGGAGACAACAACCAATTCTGCTGGAGAAATCTGTTCTCCTGCATCAACCTGCTGCGCATCCTCAACAAGCTGACCAAGTGGAAGCACTCCCGCACTATGGTGAGGGCTGGGGGCCAGACTGGGGGCTTTGCACTGCACCCAGGCCTCACTGCAGAGTGGGAGAGCACTGGGGGGGAGGAAGGGGGAGTGTGATGCTGTACAGCAAGGTCTGTGTGCTGGAGGGGGCTGGCGGTCTGCAGTCTGGTGCCCTGCATCCATCTCAGCTGTGTCACCCCCCCATCCCCGGCTGTCCCCACAGATGCTGGTGGTGTTCAAGTCAGCACCCATCCTGAAGCGGGCACTGAAGGTGAAGCAGGCCATGATGCAGCTCTACGTGCTGAAGCTGCTCAAGGTGCAGACCAAATACCTGGGTCGGCAGTGGAGGAAGAGCAACATGAAGACCATGTCTGCCATCTACCAGAAAGTGAGGCACCGCCTGAATGATGACTGGGCTTACGGCAATGGTACGTCCTCTGCAGCCACCACAAAGTGCCCTGTCACCTGCTGTCCTCGTGCCAGAGCTGTTCTGCTGCTGCTCAGGGCCGGTGCAGCCCCAGGTCTGGGCTGTGGGGGGAGATGTGTGGTGCTGGCACTGCTGGCGGTGGCTGGTGTTGGAGCTGACGGTGACTGCTGGCCCCTCATGCTGCTTTGTGGGGGCTTGCCAGGTGTCAGCGTGGAGGATTTGGTGGCCCAAAGAGCCCCAGCTGATGCCCTCTTCTCCCCTCACAGACCTGGATGCCCGACCATGGGACTTCCAGGCAGAGGAATGCGCCCTGCGTGCCAGCATTGAGCGCTTCAACTCGCGCCGCTACGACCGGGCTCACAGCAACCCCGACTTTCTGCCTGTGGACAACTGCCTGCAGAGCGTGCTGGGCCAGCGAGTGGAGCTGCCCGAGGATTTCCAGGTCAACTACGACCTGTGGTTGGAACGGGAGGTCTTCTCCAGGCCCATCTCCTGGGAGGAGCTGCTGCAGTGATGGTGGCCTCGTGGGAATGCAGCAGGGGTTGTTTGGGGAGAGGTTTGAGGTTAGGGGTGCAAAGCCTTGGATGCTGGGGGGGGGGGCTGTGGTTGCCTGGCCTCCTGCAGCAGGGCTGGGAGGGATCTGAGACTCCATCCAGCCCCTCTGCATCCTTCCAGGCTGTGCCATGCTTCACCCCATACAGAAGCCAGTGGGGCAGTGAAGGGCCCTTTGGTGCTGCTGTGGGTCGCTGGGTGCTGTGATAGGAACAGCAAGGCTGTGTGCCCCCCCCCTGGGCAATGAAGGGGAGGGGGGGGGGGTGGGAGTGCAGTGGTGGTGGGGCTGGAGGCTGCAGTGTTCCCTCACCCCGCTGGGTGGGGTGGATGAGCTGTACATATATAATATATATACATATATATATTCGTGATAGCTCTGAACTGAGTGTGGTCCACCTCTGTCTGCGTCCCTCCAGCCTCATGGCAGCAGCAGGGGGGGAGAAATCAGGTTCCTAAAAGTGTGGTTTTATTGTTTAGAAGGGAGCAAAATCTCTGTGAGTGGGAGGGGGCTGTGGAGCAGCATGGGTCTCCCTATGGGGCTGTGTTCCCTGTTGGTGCACCGGCCATACCCATGGTGTCCTCGGGCTGCTGAGAGGTTTTTTGGGGCTTTTGCACAGAAACTTTTGGGTTTGGGTGTTTTTTGACCCAAATGGGGGCTGGTGGTGAGGGCTGGTGGTGAGGGCTGGGCCCTTCTCTGAGGGGTCCCCACTTTCCATCCCTGACATCGGGATGCAGCAGAGCTGGGGGCAGAGTGGGATTGATGATTTGGTGTGGGGTTTTTGGCTGAGGTGCAGGGAAGCTCTGATGAGGTGAGCACTGTGATGGGGTGGGCTGGCTCTGCCCCCAGCCTTTGCTCTGCCCCCAGCAATCCCCCTTTCCCAGCACTCATTCCCCCCACCCCACGCAGCCTCCCTGCCCCAGACGTGGGTGCTGGGCAGGATGGGTGCAGGGATGCCGTGTGCTCTTCAGGTGTGGTTTGGGAGTGATTTCCCCACACCTCCCTGGTGCAGATGCCAACAGCCCCCTCTATCAGATCCCAGCCGCTCTGGGCTGCGCTCTGCTCCCCCCACTCCCCTTTCCAAGGGAGGGTCCTGATTGCAGAGGGCTGGGCTGCAGCAATCTGGCAGATAGGGATGCAGGAGGGATGCGTGGACCACGCTGCCTTGGGGTCTGTGTGCCATGCAGGGGTTACGTGGCCCAGCCCAGCAGGCTGCCCGGCTCCTTGGCTTTCATCCGCAGCGTCACCAGGGTGGGCGCTTTGTAGTCATTCTCCATTGGTGGTGGCTCAAATTGGGGGGCACTGAGGCTCGGGGGGGTGAGGCCATGCAGGGAGTAGAGGCTGTTGATGCCGGGGGGGTGGCCGGGAGAGGCAGGGATGCCCACGAAGCTGGTGATGTTGCTGTGAGCGTGGGGATACGGAGACACGCACGGCGATGGGATGCTGTCAGGGGGCACGAGGCAGGGCCCTGCAGGGCTGCCAGAGCTCGGCCACAGGTTGTTCTGCAGCTGGAAGAAAGGAGCCAAGACCCCAGAGTGACGGTGGGCACTGCATCATCATCCACACCCCACATCCTGAACCCCCCCCTACCCACAGGGGGCAACCAAGGGGCTGTCTTTGCTTTCTTTCCGTTGGGTGGGGAGTGAATCGTGATGGGGATCTCCTTCCTGACAGCACTGCCTTGGGTGTGGGGACCCCCATGGCAGCCCCCAGCCTCGTGTTCTGGTGCTGCTGCTGCCTCTGTGCCACACAGCAGTCACAGAGAGCAGCGGGGGGGCACAGGGCTGGTTGGTTTTAGGTTCTTTTTATGCTTTTTAGTATTTGGTGGAAAAGAAAAATGCAGTTTTGCAGCAAAGTGAGGAGGCGAAGTGCTCTCTGCTTTGCTGGGGGGTGGTGTGACTGCAGGGCTTGGGGTGAAGTGTGGTGATGTGGGGTGAAACGAGGGGTTCTCACCTCCTGGATTTTCCCATAGCGCTCCCGTTTCCTCCACTTGGCCCTTCGGTTCTGGAACCAGACCTGGGGGCAGAGGTGGGGGCTGAGGAATGGGGACCCCCCCGTCTGTCCCAGCAGGAAAAGCCCATGCAGGGTGGGTGCCAGGCTCGTGTTCTCTGCTTTCCTTCCTTTTACTTGGTTTTGGTATAGGGCTCTTGGGGTTGGGATGACCCAACTGCATGTCCCCTCTGTGCCTGGGACCGTGACAGGTCCTCCCCCAGAAAGGAGGACATGGTATTGGGATGTACCCCTCCCCCCATTTTCCTGCCTTCCCCATCGGGTGCCCCTCTGCTTTCCCATGCCCTGAGGTGGGCTCTTGCCCCACATTTTGTCTCTCGCTGCCTTTTGGATGGGACAAAGGAAGAGCTGAGGCCAGGCCATGGAACACCCCTGTGGCGATGGGGGGTGGGCAGTGGGGTGGGCAAGGGGGTGGGCAAGGGAGTGGGCTTGCCCCCTGGAGCTCAGGGCCTTTCTGATCTCAGCATCCCCTCTTCAGGCAGAGGAAGGCATCCCTCCCCCTGTGCCCCCACAGCCCCATACCTGCACCCTGGCCTCGGTCAGGTCTGTGCGCAGTGCCAGCTGCTCGCGGGCATAAACGTCGGGGTAATGAGTCTTCTGGAAGACCTTTTCCAGCTCCTCCAGCTGGAAGGTGCTGAAAGTTGTCCTGTTCCTTCGCTTCTTGCTCTTGTTCCTACCCAGAGGAGGGGGCTCGGGCAGCAGGGGGCTGCCCAGGGGGGGGGATGCCAGCAGTGGGGCTTTGCCAGAAGGGCGGCAGGCAGCGGGCATTGTGTGGCACTCAGCCTTGCAGCCTTTCTCAACGCCTGGAGGGGAGAGGTGGGGGTTAGAGGAGCACGGAGCCCCTGGTCTTGCAGTGGGGGGATGAAGGCTGGGGTTCCTCATCACCCCGTGGGATGGGTGGGGGGTATATGGGGGTGAGAGCAGGGGAGGGGAGCACTGCAGGACCCCCGCTTGGTGCGCATCTCAGTAGCTGCCATCACGTCTCTCTGCAGCCCTGACTCTCAGGAATCCATTTGCAAACCCAAATCTTGTCCTCGTTGCTTCCAATGCAATCCCACCCCCCCCTTCCTCCCCATGCAGCCATGAGGATGGAGCCACAGGGGTTCCCTCCCCCCCACCCCCACCACTGCTGTGCCATTCTCAAGCAATGCCATCCCATCCCCAATGAAAGGTGCTCATTCCACGGCGGGGGGGAGGACATGAGGATGGGACCGAATGCTGTGGATCGCCCCGAGGGGCAGAACTCACAGAGGGAACCTGGGGGAGAGGGATGGACAATGTGGGGAGCCCTGCTGTGCACCCTTGGGGGCTCTCCCTATGGAGGAACCCCCCCCATCTGCATTCCTTTGTGTGTCCCCCCCCCCCCAGTAGAACCAACCCCAACATCCTGGGCTGGCAGCAGGTGGACATCAGGACCCCCGGGGGTCTCAGTCCCTGTGTGGGGCACAGCCCAGCCCTCTGTGCTACTGAGGGGACCATCCTGGTGTCCCATCCCTGCACACCCCCATGAGCTTCTGACCCCCCCCCCAACCCCACCTCCAAGGTGGCATTTTCCAGACCTTCCCTTTGGATGATGATGATGGCTATTATTATTATTTTGTCCTAATTGAGGCAATTTGGGGGTTACTGCGCGCAGCCGAGAGCTGCGGGGCAGCTGCTTCGAATTAACGGCCCAATCTCAGCTGGGGGTGGGGGTTAGAGGGGGGGCTGCTCCCCTATTCTCGATACTGAGTGATCTCTGTACCCCTAAAACACAGCCAAGGGCTGCGGGATCCCCAGCTTTGTGCTCCTGAAGGGCTGAGCAGTTGGAGGGCCGCTGCTGTTGGCAATGAGGGAACGTGGAGAGGGGTGAAGGCAAAAACCCAAACACAGCGCCATGGGAAAGAGGGAGAAGGGGAATGAAGGAGAACCGTGGGCTGCACGAAGTGATGTGCTCTGAGCTTTGGGCCTTTCTGGGGGGTTTTGCCCTTTTCTGAAGGAGCTGCGATGGAAACTGATAAATAAAGGGCCCAAAAGGAGCAGGAAGGGAACGGGACAGCGGGGTGAAGTGGAACATGAACCGTTCAGAGAAGGGGATGAGGGGGAGAAAGGGGACACCCCAAACCCACCGCCCCGGACCGCTCTGCCCCCAGCTGCGGAACAGCTGCACCATCACCGGGAGGAGAGGAGCGTCCGCGGGGACCGGAGCGGAGGGCCGGGGCCGGACGGAGGATGCGGGCAGCGGTAAGCGGCGCTCCCCCCCGGTGCCGTTGGGTTCCCGTTGCGCTCGGCCTCATCGTTCGGTCTATTAGCGGTCGGACGGGGCCGCGGCGAAGCGGAGCCCTCGGGGCCTCCGACGGTGTTAGCGGGGATGGAAGGAGCGACGAGCGCTCGGGGAGATCGAGAAGCGATGGGGAGAGCCCCGCTGGGGCGGACCCGGGTACCGGGCGGATCCCCGCTCCCACCCGCGGCCGCGTTCCGTGCTCGCATCGCCCGGTCGATCTCCGTGTCGCGACAGGGGGACCGCGTCGGTGATAGGGAGCACAGAGCGGAGGGAGCGCGGGGCAGCGAGCGGATCGGGAAAGCAAAGCCTTACGGTGCGACCTCGGCTCCCCCCGCCACCCCAACGCTCCCCCGGTACCTGCAGCCCCGTAGAAGGGTCTCCCGTGGAGGAGGGGGCCCGGGCCGGCGGCCCCCAGGCAGTGGGGCTCTGCCCTGTCCGGAGGGCGGCGGGGGGGGTCCCCGTGTGTGCCGGCTGCGAAGGGGCCGGAGGTGTGCTGAGGTCCTGGGGGGGCCCGGCGGGTCGGGGGGAAGGGAGAGCAGCCCCGTGCCTCCATGCTGCAGGTTGGAGGGAGCGCAGGGACGGCGGGGAGCGGGATTTTGTGTGGGGCCGGGGAGGAGAGGAGGGGGTAGGGGTGGGGGGGAATATGGGGTTGGAAGGGAGGGCTCGCCCAGCACCCCCCGCACACTCACACCCACTCCCACCCCAACCCACTTCCATCGCCTCGGTCACGTGCGTCCTCCCACAGTGTTAACCCTCTGTACCGCTGCCCCCCATTCCCACTGCAACCCTCAATGTCCCCCCCCTGGCTGAGCGGGGTCGGCCAGGAGCAGAAATCCATCCCTCCCGGGACAAGGGCTGCGGGCTCTGGGCCTCCCCTCTGCAGTCCCTGAGCAGCAGGAAACGCCCAGGGCCCTTCCTCAGCACAGAGCTTCGACCCCAGGCCCTCCAGATCCCGGAGATGGGAGGAATATTCCCTATTCCCTGCGTCTTTCACGGCCCTTCTGTGTCCCTTCCCCTCTCCAGGCTGCACGAGGCTGTCTGCGGCCTTTCCTTCCCAGCATTGGGGCTGAAGTCTGTTTGCACATCAGTTTGGAGATGGTGCTGACCCTGTGATGTGGCACTGCCCGACTCACATCTCCATGCCTGGCAGAGCTCCTCTATCCCTGCTGCAACCAGAGCTCGTCGGATCTCATCCCTCCCTTCTCACCCCTCTGCCCTCGGTGCTGTCGGAGCCACTCGGGCTGTTTGGGTTTGAAGGGGCACGGCTTTGATAGGGTTTGTGGCTGGGATGGGGGTCAGATTTGGTGATTTGGAGGGTGAGAGTCACACTGGGGCTGATCAGAGCCAAAGAGGGAGCGCTGGGGGTCCCCACACTGCAGCCGTGCTCTGTGCCACGATTTGCTGCTCTCCCATCTGGGCAGCACAGAGCTTTTGGTGGATTTGGGGCACTGCATGGTCAGGGCTGAAGGGTGGGGGGTGAGCTGTGTCAGAGCAACAAAGTGTGTGCAGAAGGACCTTGGGGGGTGGTAAGCAGCAGAATAGCAGCATTGCAGCATGCTGGTGCCTTTACTGGAAGGATTGGGGCAGTCTTTGCTGCCTGAAATCCACAGCAGCTCCTGCTAAAAGCACTCAGCTGGAAAGGGAGGGGAGCACAGCCGGGCTGTGGGGCTGCAGATCTGTGGGGCTGCAGGGCTGTGCTTTGGCTGCAGCACATTTTGCAGTGCTCACCCTCAGTTTTCAACCCCCCCCTGCAGCTGCCCAACACTTTCCCTCTTCTGCTGGGATCTCCCATCGGGCTGCTCCTTCTCGCTGTGCACTGTGAGTTATTGCAGGGCAGGGGCTGTGAGCCCTGCTGCTGTCCCCCACGCGTGCTGTGTCACTGAGTGCTGGGTTAGGGGGGTTGGTTTCGGTGCCCCCCTCCCAGTTTTGCTGGTGGGATGCGGGATGCTCACTGTGCCAACGCGTTCTGGTTTCGGTTTCAGTCTCACTGGCTGGGGGGGGACGTCCCTGTCCGTGTCACATTGGTTCCCCATGCTGTCTCCCAGCTCAAACCCAAGCTCAGCGAACCCCAACACACAGGAATGGGTTCCACCCTCCTCAATCTGCTGGATTTTGGGGGCTCTGAAGCCCAGCAGCGCAGCACCGAGCAGCGCTGGGATCCCACTCCTTTCTTTCCAAGCTCAGCCCTCCTCACAACCCTCACATAACACCAAGGAACCCCTCTGCTTTCTTCTTCCCATTGAACACTGTGCTGAAATGGAGACGGATCCCCTCCATCCAACCCTACCACACACTCGTTTGCACACTCAGGTCACGCACACTGAGCACGGGGCCGCGTGCGTCTGTGCACGGGGCCGGCACAGCCTGCAGTTCTGCAGCACTCACCAACACACAGATGGGAGCACCGGGACTGCAGAAGGACAGATGGACAGACGGACACACGGAGACTGCAGGGATCAGGGCCGGGCACAGCTTGGGGAGGGGTTGGAGGGGGGTTACATGGCATTGGGGTTTGTTTAGCATTGCTGTGATGCCAATGAGCCCAAGGCAAAACCCGACACAGAGACAAAACCCAACAACGCCTTGCAAAAATGCACAAACTGTTTATTTTATTTTATTTTTTTTCTTGAATTTTTGCATCCAGCGGATGGGGGAAAAAAGAAAAAAGCAACATTTCAGTTTGCAGCGGCCTTTGAGGGGGGGGTGAATCAGATCCGTCCCACTGAGTGCTCTGCATGCAGCATCCAGTCTGTGTTTTGCAAGGGGAACGGGGGGGGGGGGGGGGGGGGGTCACATTGGGGCTCCTCATCTCCTCCTTTTGCTCATTAATGGGGTCACTGGGGGCTTAATTTCACCCCCCCGCGTCTCCCTCCCCCATCCCGGCAGAGCTTTGTGATGCAAAGAAGCAGGGATCCGTTGTGCAGCCCGAGGTCGGGGGTTTGAACGGAGCTGTTCCGACGAGGTACAAAAAGGAAAGAAAATAATTAAAAAGAATAACGATAGAAAGCAAAAGAAAACGGTAAAAATAAGTGAAATAATAATAATAATAATAATAATTAAAAAAAAAAAAAAGCCCAAAGGAAGGATGGAAAAGTTCTCCCCCATAGGAGTTCTGTGCAAATGCCCTCGGGGGCTGCTCACAATGCACCCCCACATTGTGCCCCACTGTCACACGGAGCCACTGCCCCCCCCCCAACCTCCCCACCCCTAAGGAAAACCCCAAAGCCCTTCCCATCCCCATGGGACGGACAGACGGATGCGTCCCATCCCCTAACAAAGCGCTTCCAGGATGCGCAAAGTGATACGCACCGGGACGGACAGACGGACAGATGGATGGACGAAACCCTGTGCCATAAATCAGACCAGCAGTGCTCCCCACACCACGGTCCCAGTGAGAGGTGCTCTGCAGGTCCCAGTGCTGCTGCTGCTGCGCTGATCCCAATGAATCTGGGAGTCATCTTTCAGGATGGAAAGCCAGAAAAGCACCAGAAAGCGTTTTCTTCCCTTAAAATGTGAGCTGAATATTTATTGCTGGGAAAGGAGAAGTTTGCTGCAAACGCAAGGAGTCCCCAGGGCTGAGGGCTGCCCCATA